AAAACCCACTGGATTTTCAACCCAAACTAGATACACAAATCCTACGTTTGGACGTTATCACCTCGACAATACACAAGATTAACAAAATTGATTATGTGTAATTATTGAAGAATGCAAGTGTGAGAATGAAGATGATGAGCAAAAATCAATGTATATATTTCACTTTTCTTGTTCTATATGGTACAATAATGAGACAAATGAATATATATGATGTCAAGACCCAATAGTTGAAGTAACAACATTTTGAAACACAAAGGATCAAAAAAATTGATTTAAATCAGTGAGAGGTCAACAAAAGCCCTATCTGGGTCATGCGTCCCAAATTCAAAACTACACAAAGTTTCAAGCGATGCATCAACCGGAACAGGGTCATGCGTCGACGCAAGGTTACCTCAAAACAGTAAATTATTATTCCTACAGTATGAGTCGGCCTATGGGTCGACACATGGAGACCCGAGAGCAACAAATTGTTTAATTAACATCATGCGTCGACCTCCACATGTCTGTGAGTCGGCGCAAGGACTCTAGAATGCCAAAAATAAGTTTTTGTGAGTATTTTGGTTGACCTAAACCCTTTTTGAGTTGACCTAAGGTATCTAACATGATAAAGTGCACAAATTTCATATATGGGATGCTCCTATATACATAGACACATGTATATGGAATATTTTATGCATATTAAGGTATGAATGCAATCTAAGATGCGATGATACCGTCCAAAGTACAACTACGAGCTAATACTAGTTTTGACATCATTAAAACAAGAACTAAGGAACCTTGCCCTCATAGGTTGTAATGAATTCAATTAATTATTAATATAAATATATGTACATTTTCTCTTTCTTCCTCTGTTGTATACGTTTTTCTTTTATAGTGTTCAGGACAGGTGTAACAAAGATGAAATGCATAACTACGTATCTGATACAGACTTAACACATTTTTGCGATTCTGACATGACTTAAACGCATTCCTTACATGATTATGTATCTGATAAAGAATTAACACATTTATGTGATTCTGACATGGCTTAAATGCATTTCTTGCGTGATTGCATATCTGATACAGACTTAACGTGTTTATGTGATTCTGACACGGCTTAAACGCATCTCTCATATGACTTCCCATTTAAGGCATACTACACCCATTTCTGCTTATCATACCCAGCCCCACCCCCTTCGAATCTAGCCAATCCAAGGGCATAGACGATGGAGGCAGAAGATGTCCTCCTCAATATGAGTTAAATCTCTAGGGCAGGGATTGGGATCCTACCTCTGGCCAGGGAACAATCTGTAAGGGCAAGGTTCCTTAGTGTTTTGTTTTAATGATGTCAAAACTAGTAATATCTCGTACTTGTGTACTTTGGACGATATCATCGCGTCTTAGATTGCATTCATCCTTTAATATGCATATAATAATCCATATATGTGTGTATATGCATATAGGATAATCCCATATATGAAAATTGTGCATGGGATACCTTAGGTAAACCCATACAAGGCTTTAGGTCGTCTTAAAAACTTACAAAAATGTGTTTGTAGCATTCTAGTGTCTTTGCGTCGACTCACAGATGTGTGGAGGTCGACGCATACTATTGGATAAATCATTTTTTACTATCGGGTGTCCTTGCGTCGACTCAGATATACGTGGAGGTCGACGCATACTGAAATAAAAACAATTATCTGCTCTCGGGTGCCCTTGCATCGACACATGGCTTGGTTCAGGTCAATGCATGGCTTGAATTTTTGCACAGATTTACATGCTGGAGTGTTCAGGTCGACTCATAGAGTGCTAAGGCCAACCTCTCGCTCACTTAAGTGCATTTTTATGATTCTTTGTGTTTCAAAATGTTATTAGTTCTGTTATGTGGTCTTAGTCTCATATATATTCATATACATTGAAATTGCTCATCATCTTCATTATCACACATGCATTCTTCAACAACTACACATAATCATTTTTGTTGATTTTTGTATTGTCGAGGTGATAATGTCCAAACTTAGGATTTGTATATCGTTGTTTGAGTTGAGAATTCAGTGGATTTTTCTTGAATAAAACCTTTGGGGTTTTGTCCTTCAAGATCTTGAGGATTTGGGGGGGTTTTGCACAAATATTTGCGTCATAAACCTTTTGGCACAAACTCTTCGTTTAAGCAATTAGCGGTAACCGGAGAATTGTGTCGAAAGATTTGGGGTCGAACGTCTTACAATCAGAATCAGCTAAGTGAAAGACTTAAAGATTCAAGCGGGTAGCGATAACCGGAGGTTTTATCGAAGAGTTTGATGTTCTTGATTCGACTGGAATCAAAGGGAGAGAAATAGATAGAATCAACATCAACAATTGGGTTTGAGTGTGTGGTGGCTATAACTTATCTTGTACAAAACTTTGCAACTTGATATTATACATATCTCAATTCTAGTTTTACAATTGGGGACAGATGTACCCGAAGCGAGGACGAAAAGGGGAACTGCCTAAAGAAATCCAGTGTCATTCTCTCTTTCTCTATCTCTTTACTTTGTGTGTTTACATTTGTGTGATATCAATTGTTCAACATTTCCACTATTGTGTAGTGCTGAAAATCTGGTTTGAAAACTCGTTACAATCACTTTGATTGTAATTGTTGAAAATTCTGCACTATCAATCTCATAGGAAATTCAACTTGGGGTGTTGTGCACACCAAGTGTTTGACGTATTGATCGCACACAAGTTGTTTGTGAATTTGTCAAGTTAATTTTTACATTTGATAATTCATTGGAAATCGGTTAATACAAAGTGATTATTACTTGTACTAGTTAATTTGCTACGTATTGACTCGTTTTTTCATTGATTTTATTCTATTTGGCTACGCATATCCGATCTTACCAATAACAGTTCGCCTAAACGATTAAAATTCATGGCTGCTTCCGCACGTTTTTGACACAATTTTTAAGTGCCAATTTTTATTAAAAATTAGTGATCTATTCAACCCCCTTTCTAGATCATTGTCATCATCTAACACAGTCTTCTATGACGCAAAGCGCAATACAAATATATGATCACATAATTTTGATCTAGACAACCCAAAGCTCCATCTCAAGAAGCACATGCATACGTTAAATTCAACGAACAAGCATGGCAACCAAAAGTGATAGCTAATATCATCCATTATGTTATGGCAAGCTGCAAATCATAAAGCAGAAAGCTCAAAGAAGTACTATTTTTCTTCTTTCTCTTCATAAAGCGTGCACCACTCAAGGCTACCCTGATGAACACTGAAGATGCCGTCTGAATAGAAAAAACTTAGTATTTTAAAGATAACAAGCAAGCTCTGACCTTATTGTAATGTGCAAACAACCAAAAGAATTGCATAACAACAGTAATAAAATAGATGTGTTCAGATATAAACATTTTTGTATTTTCACATAGATTTATAAGAATATATAGAGGTGGAAAAAAATATTCAGATATAAACATTTTTGTATTTTCACATAGATTTATAAAAATGTATAGAGGTGAAAAAAAAATGCCTACGCGTACATGTACCAATTTTCCGAGATACTTCACATTTTATATTGTTTAGATTTGAATTTTATAGTCTAGGTTCTTTCTCAATTTAACTACAAAATTAAATATAAATGGAGTACCATTTCTTTGTTTACACTATATGGAAAATGGTGTGGGAACAGAAAATAAAAGTGTTGGAAAGCCAGCCAGAAGTCAATTACTCCATCTTATATAGTAGCATTTAACTTATTATCTCCTCAATTGTACTTACACTCCATTTTAAAAAGTTTTTACTATTATATCCTTTTGTAAAAATTAAAATTTTGAAATTTATCTATGTTTATCAAAAATTTGTAATATATATAAAAAAATTTCGAATTTTCAATTTTTTATCAAAATTTTTTAAATTTTTGATAAAAAAAAAAAATATGAAGAATGAAAATTGCATTTTTTTACCAAAAATTTTGAAATTTCCAAAAAAAACATGAAAAGAAAAATTTTATACTACCAGAAATTTTAAAACTACAAGTACACTACTGAAATTTAAAATTTTTAATAAATGTAAAAAATTCAAAAATTTTAATTTAAAAACTTCTTTAAAAATTTCAATTTTAAAATTTTTGGTAATGTAAAAAAAAATCAAAAATTTTGGAATTTCTTTTTAAAATTCAGATAATTCATATTTTTCCTGAAAATTTCCGATAAAAAAATAAAATTTTCTACAAAAATTTGTTTAAATTTTTTTCCAATGACAGTTTTAAAATTATGAAACTATAAGAGGGGTGGCAAGTTTCCTCCTTATACAGAGTTGCAAGGCCCGACAAGTTGATCAACTATATGATCCAAACTCAAGTTTGGCATCACCATCTGCTTCTTGGCATTTTTCACATGGAAGGCAGCTCTGGTCAGATCATATGGCGTTACACTCCTTAAAATCTTCCCTCCTCTATAGATTCAGTGATGTCTAAGACAGGAGCCTAGTTATACCAGCAAAAGGTTTGAATCTTCTGTTGGATGGGTGTTTGGGACTTCCTACAGAGGCGTTGATGTATGGATGTATGTCAGACATTTTTTAGATGTGGTACAGGCTTAAATGTTGGAATGAAACAAAACATATCTCTGCAGCTAGCTTTCAATTAATTAGGTTTCACTCATGTGATCAGATAGCAAGATTGTAATGGTTCAGAAACCAATAGCAAATGAGCTTAGAAACATTATTTTGCATTGCATACCATTTGAATACTGTACAAGAAGGAAACCAATGGTTATTGTTATTATTTTTATTATTATATACAGAAAAGAATAGAAGGAGGCAAAGAGGGAGAGACCAACTCTAGCTATTGGCACCAGCAGCGTCAAGGAATAAATAAACAAATAAATATATAAGCATCTGTAAATAAAAGCATTGATGATTACAAAGCCTGTCAAACTGATGAGAACCAGTGGTTTAAGAGTCAAAAATATGGTCAGATCGTCTGCAACAGATGCGTGAAATAATTGCATCCATTTGTGCGCTGATCCTAACTGCTGAAATTCCACCATCTCTTCTTTTTCTTTATATAAGATGAAGGCATTTCTGAATATGAATTAACATAATAAAGTTAAACACGATCATGACAATTAAACTGGATATGCAAATAATTGAATCATAAACTTCTTTAGCTCAAGAGCTTCGTAATTTCATTTATTGTGTTTATTGAGTATTTGTATAAAGGATAAATTTGTTACCTCCTTCCGGATAAATTGAATTGTAATGCACCTCTGCCCAAAAGCTCAGAAATATTACTGCACAAGTCACATGTAAAGAAAAGTCTTACCCTTAGCATTTTGCTGAAACAGGAATTACTATACTAACAGTACACATCACATAGATTATGCACCACACTCAGAAATTACTATTTTCAGGATATTGCTCATTTCACATTTTACATATCAGAACATTTTTTAAACCATATCTACAATTGCATGAACTTTATCAAGAATAATTTTTTGAATACAAAGTACATAAACAAAATATGTCATCATTGTTTTCTCTACGACTTAACAAATACTGATAAAATCTTACCCCTTCCAGACTTCTGTATCTGTGGAAGAATTTCAATGTAACATGTGTCCTTGAAAGATGTAATCACAAATATTTTGACACCATACTGAAAGGACATGAGAAATTACCATATTAGTCACAAAACTAATTGAGGAATAAATAAAAAACGCAATGATTATTATTAACAACGTTAAAACATACTACATGATCTTTACATAGCACCAACAGGATACTCAATCTATTCTTAATTCCTAGACAATGTCTTCAAAACAATAATTACAGAAATTTACATTACAACATCTTGTAAGTAAATACCATATCCCCGGTGTTCACCTTTTTACAGCAGTTTCTATTTAAAAACAAATAATTCTTTTATCCAATAAGGATTACGATGCCAACCATTTAAACCTATCATAAATCAAGGATTTATTTCAGAAAAGCTTAAACCATTAGTGTGACTTCAAGACTGTCTCTAAAGCTGTAAATACTTAGCTCGGTCACAAAAAAAGCTGTAAAAATAATTTCTAGAAGCATGTCTGAAAGAGCAAAGCTCTATGACACCAATTCTTCATTTTTTAGGATTATGGGTTTTAATTGTTATGAGGGGCACTGGGGTTTGGAGCATCAAGAGAGAGAGGGATCACAAAGAGTTTAGAAAGACGTGGTCTCAGAGTTAACAACAACTACAACCACCAAATCTTATCCCACTAAATGGAGTCGACTACATGGATCAACTTTCATAGTTAAAATGAGAGAAATCCTAAGTAGGCGGGTAGCATGTATCATTGAAACGACAGAGCAAAAACAATAGAGAAACTTCAAAATATTTACCAGAGTCTAAAAACCGGGAGCAAGAGCCGTTGAGCGAATTTGGCGATTAAATGTGGACAATTAGATTAACTAAAGTTGATGGATAGGAGTTGGTGTTAAAATAAACTCTTACACTTGGTAACAATTGATCATATCACATACACATGCATGGCCAACAAAACAGAAGAAAAGTATAATACAGAAGGAAAAATAAATAAAAATTATGTATTTCCCGCATACCCAATCTGCAGCAGCCTGCAATGTGACATGATCGCCCCATTCACCACTCCTACAACATCACACATAAAGCTATCAGCAAACATATACTTCAATAAAGTCATATCGTCATAAATAACACAACAGTGTCTGTGCACATAGTCGCATACTTGCTCATCTTCTTTAAATATTCACTATAAGCCATAGGAACATAACCAGCATACAGATCTGAGTCGGACTTGAGCTGACAAAACAACAAAGGAACACTATCAATACATATGAATATTGGAAGCACCACCAAACATGTAAAAACATTACTGTAAAATCAATAAACCTGTTGAACAATTTGTTCCCGTACAAATTTGTGGAGGTTTGGAGAACGATAGAGTTGATCTGACAAAGCACGAAACTGAAATCAAATGAAACCAACAAAGCAATCTTTATTAGTAGAAAATTGTATATGAAATCTAAGCATTGTGATCCACACAAGTTAATAATACAAAAAAATTAGAATATTCAAAATCTTTAGTTATATGTCAATTTTGCATGAACAATAGTAATGATATACAAAGTTAAGCTTGCACTTCATCAAACTTCAATGATAACAAAACAATTGAATTGCAATAGATAGAAAAAAAATGTTCAAAGAAAATAACAAATATCATAAGATTTATAACATTTGTAGAAAAAAGGAATGTTGACAACCCTCCACCCCATCACAAAGGATTTACTTTCGATAAACTTTAAGAATGGACTATTTAGGCTATCAACGAACCATGTGATCCACTTATATAGATATTGGTTGAATTCTGATCTTCTACTCATAGTATAACACATTTAAAATTTTAAGATAAGGAATGAATTGACATTGTTGTGTCTCTTGGATGGATTGTTGTGTCTCTTGGATGGATGGTTGGTGGAAAGATGCGATTTAAAAATTGGAAGTTTGAAATGCTATTTTCTTGGGCGCGAATTGGAAAATGGTATAAATAATTAAATATATGTCTGAAGTTTTCACAGCCCAGTTTGGATTTTTTTTTTCTTTAAGTACTTAATGAGTAGGAACAAGTAGGGTTTAATATAGGCGTGAGGCAGTGTTTGGAAGGGTAAAAACTCCCCCAATTGTTAAGCCTACTTTTCACAAGTTATAACATTAAAGTCTCATAATATGTTTCTCATAATAAATTTAGGAACATGTTAACAAGGATGAAATAAATTTTATAATACATGAATTGAATTGCATTTTAGATGACTATAGGAAGCACCACCCAGAAAGATAAAGTACCAACCTGGCAGTTACCATCTCCTTGAACCTTAGACTCAATCAGTTCATATAACTGCAGTCTAACAGAATTCAAATTGTTTAAATTAGATATACGCTCAATGACATAAAGGACAAAGATAATACATAATCTGTTCTAACTTACATGCAAAGCAGTGTAGAAAAAATAAAAATGAGGTTGAACTACATAGAACAATCCTGTATTCAAGTTATTAAAGAATATGCCAAGTAATTGCCTTTAGGCAGCTAGTATGGCAATCGCCTTTAGAAACTAAGTCAAGACATTAGGTAATTCAGGAGCTACGTGACCAAGGCACCAAGTTATTTTGCAACTAACTCATTAAGGCATCAAATTATTGAGAAACTAATTCAGTAAGGCAATTGAACTGCATCAGACCTTTTACTGAGGGGCACTTCCCCCTACACTTCTCTAGATAAAAAATGAAAACTGCACTAAATAGGGTATGTAGGTGTGCCCCTCAAATTTGTCGTTCTGCCCAATGATTTAAGGGAACAATCACCACTAGTATGCAAAAGGAATTGAGCATGATTGCTCAAATCCTAGTTTTCCTTTTCTTTGTTACTTTTTTCCTTTCCAGATCTTGAGGATGTGTTATTTTTGTCACCCCATTTGAACTTCTCTTTGAGAATACTTATTCTAAAGTAACTACGATACATACACAAAAATTTAAAATTTTCTTAAAGCAGAGAGTATGACAGGTAAGCCTTTGTAATAATATGCAATGAAGAAATTGTCCTCTCTTCTTGGCTTTGGTGAGTGCTAACAAAATTTTGGGTGTTTATTTTTTTTTTTTAAAGGACACCAAGTGGCTGTATTTTGGGGAGGGGGTTATTCTTCTTTTTATAGTGGTATAGAATAATAGTTCTGGTATTTAATTGACTCCTTCTAAGAGACTAGTCAGACAAACCAACAGACATAAAATAAAATAAACCAAGACCTGTCTAGCAGCCTTTGATGGTCTGATATTTCTTCATCGTCGGATGGCATTTTTTCGTTGGTTTTAGGAACATGCTGAAAACATAGACAAGAGAAATAGAAGCATGAATAATTACTTAAATTAGACTTGCACATTTAAACTATACTTTTAATGATATATCACTTAAGTATAAAGCTTGAGTTATTTATATAGGGTATAGTATAGTATGATACATAATCATTTCTACATTGAATTTTCTTCCCACGATTCATGTAACTAATCAGTACCAACCTGGTTACTACATATCAAGAAATAAAAATTTACGTGTTCCTGCAAGTCTCAGTGTCATGTGTGGGTTAAAAGCTCATAATTCGCATATGCACATCTATGAATTTTGTACTTGAATTCTTAAAAACATCCAAAGAAGAGACGGAAGCAATTTGATGCACTAAAGCTTCACTTACCGGAATGGAAACCATCTGGTTTAATCTTTTCCCTACTTCACCGTCAAGAGAAGACTCATCCGATATTTCCAATGAATGCCACATTTCATCAGTAATGGTGGGAAACTCTCCTGACCTAGAAGACGAACCAAATAATCCAACTTCATGTGCATCGTTTTCCCTTTCATTTGGACAGCTTTCCTCCATTCCTTTCATATGGCATGATTCGCCGACAGGGTTCTGGCAAGATTCACTGCCCACATGTTGATTATCTATCATGAAAAAGCATTTTTATTAAAAACTATTACATGTTATGAAAATAACAAAGAAGCCACTACGGACAAGCTTGTACCAAAGTTATAGCTCCTACTTGAAGAAGATAGCCAATCTTGCGCATTTACGGATTCCCGCACTTGCTCATTCTCAAAATTTGAAATCCCAGAAGCCTCCATAGAATCAAGTTGTGATAATTCTTCCTGATATGCACGTGCAACAGCCTCATCATCTTCAACGTATGAATGTTCACAGAAACCCTCCCTAACATATTCAACTTGACTTAAATCGGGATCACATCGAGTTACGACACCAGGGGTACCACCATGTGAAAATGTACAAACATCTAGAAGATGTAAGCCCCAGCGAACAACATCAGGATCCATGTCATGTGATGTCATCATGAGCCTACGAAACACATCTAACTCTCTACCTACCTACTCCAGAAACCAATTTGATTCAGAGTGTTATGCCGGGAAAGTGTTCAATTTGCTGAAAATAACAAACCTTGATAGTCACACTTCCTATTTATGTCAATAACAAAACCTATTTCAAAATGGAAATTTAAAAAAGCACAAAGTATCAATGATCAGATCAAGATAATTGAAACAAAAAATGCCCTAAATTACATAGACCAATACAATGCTACTTAGACTTAGACATCAAATTTAAAAAGCTACGAAATTGAATTGCATAAGCGAACGGAACCAAATGAAGAACCCTTGATTTTTCACTTCTAAAGCATCAAATTTTCAACATTCAACATTCAACATGCAAAGCAATAATCATCGTAATAAAAACCCTAAACTCATTTTCTGAAACCGACATTTCTTAAAATCCGGAGAAAAAATACAATACAAACAGTTAAAAAGGAATGATATGAAAAAGAATAAGGGTGGAGAAAAGAAAGACGAACCTTGCTGAAAAACGATGAAAAAGCAAAGATGGATGGGAGAGGTTAGCGAATGAAAAGAACAGAGGGAGGTGTGAAAGGAAAAGAGCGAGCGTAAAGGAATTGAGTGAACGAATGATGAAGAAAACGATGGTTACAGAATCTGGATTATGTAGCAAATAAAAAAGAGAATTTGGATTAATTTTTTTTAGATGAATCTCTAAAATATTTCCGTAGTTACATTAAGAAAGCACACTAGAATGAAAAGTAATTTTTTAAAATAAAAATGACATTCATAACATAAAATCAACATTACAACTTATAAGGATAATTTCAACATAAAATTCAATATTATATTTTAATATTTTTGTAAACGTTTGCACATCTTCAGAATATCTTTGACTGATCTTTGTGGTGTCATTTTCAACTCGAACGGAACTTTCTCTTCGAATCGAAATGTATATCCCATATATCTCTAACATTCGTTTTCTCTTGAGCTCAAATTTGTTGCAGTCAATGTTCCCTTCATTGCCAATCTAAGGTGAACGGTACTCAAATTTCATGATATTTCGATTGTCTCAATAAGGTATGAGATGGTGAATTTCGTCTTTGATGTCTTCGAGTGAGGTAAAGTCGGTGAGCTTGAAAGTTCCTCAGGTGTATAGCTGGAGAATGAGGCATATGCGACGTACCAATAGATGTTTATTTGTGAAATTTGAGACATTTTGAGTTTGTGTGAAATATAACATTAGAGCGCCTAAATTTTTAGAAGGCAAAGATTAATTTGGACCACTCACTAACTGGCGTATTGATTTCAGAGATATATCTCCGAAAATGCACCATATAATCTTGTTTCGGAAATGCATCTCTAGAACTTCTCCTAAACCAGTAGCACACCGAAACACTAAAACATAATCATTTTTTTCCATTCACAAAAACACACATGTTGTTATGGAGTAGATAAAAAATGCATAAATACAAAATATAAACAAAAGGTGAATATATATAACACTTCATTTATATTGAGATACAATTGCATACAATTATTTGTATGATTAAACAAAGAATTAAAACGAATTGAAGCATGTGTCACTGGCTAAATCTATAGGTGGTGCCCCCTTGGACTTATGTGCATTTTATTCTTGTTCAATGTTGTTCAATCTCTCGAATTCTTGCATCCTTTCCATAAAATGATTCGACCAAGTCTCGAATTTTATGGTTGAATGAGTCGTCCACTCCGATGATGTAAGTGGTACAGGGCATCCTGGTTTCAAGTAAACTTGAACAAAATGACTTGATTTTGAAAGTCACCCAATACACATGATTCAATCATTTGAATTTTGGGGTGGTGTGGTGTGTAGTGAGAAAAGGTTTCCGAAAAACCGTAACGTGTTAGGTCAACATATGCTATTAGGTGACCCATTTTTAGGAAACGCATCCATTTTGCATCTGGTGCCTGATCGCTTAAGCAAGGAAGAAGAGACTCGTAAACCGCATCGAAATTTTCTTTCTTTCCGTACAATTGCGTGTACGATTCTTATGTGTCTCCAACTCTTTGATTAGTTGATGTCGAACAAGTGTATGACTATCTTCTCCTTTACCGAATAAAATCGAAATGCCTCGGTAACCGCAATTACCTTCCCCTACACCATTGACGATCTGCTCAATATATTTGTGCATAAAACACGACATCTCGTTGATGAATGGAATATTTGGTAGAGGCAATGTCGGTGGTGGTTTGCTAATGTGGAGTTTTATGTTGTCATCGGACTTCAAAAATCTCTCATGTATCACTTCTCATTCAGTCAAAATAGAGATATTCGATTTAACGTCATCCATGCATCTATAATCATCAAACCTAAGTCTCTTCTAATGAGTGCAAACCTTGTCCATTCTTATTGGTTCACCAAGTTTCACCTTTTTAGCAATAACACAAACACATGAGAGACCATATGTTTTCACAATGGTCCATCCACACTTTGCGCTATTAGAGCCTACATTATCATATCATTTAGCCTTGTGAAAAAAAATAGTTCAAATCTGCCCGAGAAATGTTACCAACCAACTGAGAATATAGAGTGTTGTCTTTAAATCTGTGTTTCAAAATCGTGATGCTCCGACCAAATGTTGTTTGTATCTTATTATGTTGGTTTTGACTCATTTGGTTCACGGAGTCCCAATCTCTACAAAAATCCTCTTTAGTATTTTCCAATCAATTTTTCAAAGTAGCATGGGTCGACTTAACTCTGTTAGTAGTTGTATTTTCAAGGTGTCTAACATTATCAGTCCACGCATAAACTATCTTCTCCTTCACCTGACCAAGAATTGTGCTTTCAACATATTTCAACAAATCTAAATACTTTTCACACACTTTCCTGAAATGAATAACGAGATCGGCATATAGTTTTTTTGTGGAAGAATTTAATATACGATTTCATGCATCCATTATTTTTCCACAACCACACCCACCTTCACCAATTTTTCATCTTCAGACTCTATTTTTTTCGTCCCTGTCGCGGGTTTAACCCGACTTCTCACATTCTTTGTTATGTGATTGTTGCACCCCAAAATTTGCCCTCGCGTTTTCTAACTTTGACTGGCTTTTGCTTCGCATTCATCTGCATATCATCTAGGTCGATCATTTCTTGCATACTGTCCATGTTATCAGCCGGAATGGGTTTATCGGAATTACAACCGCTTCGTTCGCATTTTAGACGGTTTAGACCGTTTCAATAGATAAGTTTTATTTTAAAATTGGACGGAGTGTTGCGTTTCTTCCGAGTGATTTATTTCGCGCTAATATTTTAGGCACGTTCGTTTTTTTTAATTTTTGAGTATTACTTAACTTTTTCGTTTTCATTTTGTGACTTATTTTTTACAGTCGTTTGTTTAGGTTTATTTTTTATTTGTTTAGATTGATTAGATTTTTTATTTAGCTTTTTTATATATTAGTTTTTAGAGTTGAAAATAAAGCTAGATTGATTTAGTTAATTAATTATTTTAGAATAGATTTTTTTTATTAGAATTTAATTAGGATAGAATTAGAAATTAGATTAATTATTTAGTTTAAAATTATTTAATTAGTATAGGTTTTTTAATTTAATTAATTAGAATTATTAGTTAATTAGATTAATTAGAATTTAGAATTCTAATTAGAATTATATTAGAATTTTAATTTAATTTAATTAATTAGCTTTTAAAATTAGAATTATTAATTAATTAGATTTTAGAATTGGGATTATTAATTAATAGTTAGATTAGAAATTAGATTAGAGAATAGAATTAGGATTTATAATGGATTAGGATTTAGATTAGGATATTTAAATGGAAAACAAAAAATTAATAGAAAAATTAAATAAAAAAAGGGGGAGGACACGTTTTTTTCTTCACGATAAAAGGGGAAGAAAAGACTGTTCATTGTCTTCTTCCCCATGTAAACCCTAGTCGCCGTCGAGTCTTCTCCATCTCCTTCGTTTGTATTCCCAAAACAAACATAAACCCACCTTCATCAAATAACAACCTCCGCCTCCTTCCGCATCATCAAACCATCAATTTTGAACCCCAATTTCCGACGACCAACCCTCGAATCTCACCCCAAATCACTTCTCTTCCAAACCCGTCTTCTTGCTCCTTCAAACTTCTGCCACCCTCCCTAACAAACCCTAATCTGTTCTTCTTCTTCCCTCACCCAAACCCAAAGCCTCCGCCGATCCCTCGCCTCTATTTACCCATCTGCACCTTCTCAACATCAATGGATACTACGCCTCTTTCTCCAAAATTCCTTTTCTCTTCCTCCACCCCAACCCTCTCTTCATCCTCACAACAACAACAGAGTTCGTCTCATCCTTATCAAACCCATTTTTTCCACTCGTTCCTTCTTCTTCAACAACCACCGACGACCCTGTCTTGAACCTAATCAACAAACACCTGTAAGAAACTCAATCGAATCACATCTATGGAAGAATTAGTTTCACAAGGGAAGCCACTTAACAAGGAACAAGAAGAAGTTCTCCGTTCAAAAACCTTCGTTCTCGTTCTCATTGATGAGTTGGAGAAGCTTCATCAACCGCTTTCCGTTGCCCTTCAGAACAACCGTGCAACCCATCTCCTTCCGCCATTTCCGATACACCAGCAACTACTTGTCTCAAATCAAAACCCATATCTTGGAACTGAGAGAAGAAAAAGAAGAAAAGGAGATGGACTCGTGGCGGAGAGAAACTGTCGTTGCGTTTTGAAAGAGAGAGGGCTGGTTTTTTCCTTCTGAATGTGTCACCAGCTGACTCTTCTGATGGAAATTTTTTATTTTTTTAATCTTATTTTATTTATTTACAATGAAAAACAACATTGGCATGTGGGTTGGATTCAAGGAGTTTGGGTTGAAATTCGTTTTTGTTATTTTGCATCTCTCGTTTTATGTATTACCACCCCCTCTTGTTTTTTTTTTAAATTCTTTTTTCTAAATAGTTTAGAATTTTTTTTAATATTTTCTTTTGATTAAGTTTAGAGTTT